TTATATGGGAAAACGATATATTATTTAGGGCTATATATTTTTGCTCTTTGCTGATCTTTCTAAAAATCTATAGGCCTCTATGTAAACATTAACATACACACCTAAATAAATATATAGGCCTATACAGTAGGTATACATTTCAATTTAACAGATACATAAACAGTTCGTTATTCTCTACATGCCCTTTAACTGGTATGGTGATCAATCGGAAAAATTTTCGTATAAAAACGCGAAAACTTACTTTTTTCGATTTGTATCTCATTGGACGTTTACAGCTTTTCATCCTTTTGAATGAGCAATTGATTTTTAAATACAACATTCAGTAGCATAACCTATTACCTTTAACTTAAAGCGTGGCTTTTTAGTACCGTTACTTTTAATAATATTTCAATTTATGTTTATTGTCGAATCATCACTTTATAAATATAATACTGGTAATGATAAATTGTTATGGATCCTTACGAAAAATATACAAATCAGTAGGCCTACGTCACATTTTTGTTTTGTTATTTGTCATGAAAAATACATTTGTATCTTGATAATAAATACACGTAGACGATCTTTCCAGGCCGTGAGTGTTGAGGTTGAACTAACTTTCGGATATTGATATCTCATTGTGTTGCACTTTGCCGTTTCATTCATATTGTCTTAGTTGCACATCAATCAACGTTAGCGAATTGGGTTCTTATAGGAAGTAATTAAAAATAAAAATGTTAAAACAGTAATTTGTAACCCTGGGTAGATTACATAGCGGGTATTCTCTCCCTTTGGGTCAGAGGGGCCTTGGACATCCGTGTACTGGGCGTTAATAATTTTTACCAGGGCCTTTTTTCTAGGGCCATTTTTTCCCCAGGGACTTTTTTCAGGGGCCATTTTTTCCGGCGGCCACTTTTATTTATATTCCAGTACAGTGTATACTGCTGTAAAATAATACTTTTCTATGTTTAAAAAGTGTGTAAAATAAGAACAGAATAAGAAAATTTTGAGTCTGAAATCGGCCAAAAAATAAGAACACTGAGCCTGGTCAAAATTTTACTGGTTCTTATTAAAAAAAGAAAAAAAGAAAGAAAAAGAACAAAACAAAAACAAAAAACGTGTAATAGAAAACTGATATAACTTAATATAGGCCTACCAACAACATTAACACGAAAAGTAGATACGGTCCGAAATGCAACTAATTCACTGTCAAATTAACTTCATCTAGGCTAATATGTTGGGGTGTTTGTAGCTTTCTCTTCGTTTAGTACCACTAGGCCTATTTCTTATAATACAATTTTTTATGCTAATAACTTGTAAAATATAAATAGTAAATATGAAACATTAGGTTTTTAATACTGGATTATAAAGTAAGATGTCATTATTGTAGGCCTATATCTGTTTTATTATTATTATATTTTTTTTGCCTTTAAGATTTTGTTTATGAAATAATACTTTTAACAGTTATTTATATTATTCTGTATATGCTGTACTTGACTTTGAGAAAAGCGGCATATAGGCAATATTTACGTTAAGTTGCCGTACGTGCTGCCCGCATTGGGTGAAGATATTACGAAACGATTGGATGCGGGGTTATCGTGTTATCAATTCCATTGTCATGGTCATAGCTCCCATGCATACGAGCAATGTGCAATTCGTGAAAGGTGCGAAATTCCTTGCGAGATCGACTATCCTGCTCTTCAACTCTTTCAGAACCTGGATGCATTAAGCAAACATTTTTTGAGTGAGAACATAGTGCCAGCCAATGATATCAACATTTTAATTGAAACCACTTATAGCGCACTTCAGCGCAATCTAGATACAGAGAAGAAAGGCACGGTAAGATGCCTGTTACAGCTATGCTTCGGTAATGTATGGCATACGTCTTATTCTCGTACGTTAAATTGCATCAAGGAGTTGACTATCAGACAGTTATGAGTGGCTCAGAATAGCTTTCCACAGGCACAGTTTGTGTGCATCAGCAGGCCATTGCTGTAGCAGCAGCAGCAGCAGTACTTCACCGGTAGTATGGAGCGGACCCTCTTTTGTAGCATGCAGTACTAATACGAGTAGTAGCAGTAACAACAGCTATACAGTAGTAGTAGTAGTAGTATGCTATTCACTAGTAGTACTCTAATACGGTAGCACTGTAGTAGCGCCTGTATATTTAGTATGTATAATAATAATAATAATAATAATAATTATAATAATAATTATAATAATAATAATAATAATAATAATAATAATTATTATTATTATTATTATTATTATTATTATTATTATTATTATTATTATTATTATTATTATATACTGTATTATTACCATTATAGTATGATGGTGATGAAGATAACGATAGATGTGATGGTGATGGTGGTGATGATAACAGTGGTGGATGTAGGATTTAATAATGGGTGTGGATAATGGAAGGTTAGAAGCACCAGGGGGTGGTGGTAATATGAATACCTACAAATGCTATCAGTACCTTACTGAGTAAAATACCCTCTATAATACAGTACAGTAATATACTGAGCCTGTACAACAATATTTTTCTAAGTTTGAAAATTGTTTAAAAATAAGATTTAAAAAAAAAAAAATTTGAGCCTGAAATCGTCCAAAAATAAAAACACTGAGCCTGGGTAAATTTTACTGGTTCTTATAAAAAAAAAAAGTGTACATGTTGTACACACGGGAAGCACACACACAAGACGAGTGACCATTTTTTTTTTACGGTAAACGAAGGTGGGTGGCTAGCCACACTATTCACCCCGCCATTGTGATAATGATAATACTGATTTATTAACCATGATGACGATTATTACAGTGACCACAATGCAAAACATAATGGCACATTCATCAGGATTTCATTTTTTTAATTTTCATTTCATTTATTTTGCCGAAAACAATTACAATACAAAAAGATAAAGCAGTCGGGAAAAAAAAATATTTTTTTTTTATTGTACATTATGATACGATAACCTTGCGTGATGAACTTTTGCGCTCTAGGTTATGTATTTGATTGATTCTGTAAGTCGTTGATGATGCGTTCTTCGTATGAACGCACATTACACATTTAGGATGATCGCGTTAACATATGATTTAAACATGACAAGCTAGTCTACCTAGATAATATACTGTATACTTAGTTTTTATTAAGTGTGGGCCTATGTTTTTAATCAAGTCACTGCGTAGCTTTTTTTATTGATTAGAAACAGGCCTATAGATAAATGTGACTGGTGCATTTTTAGAGGGGAGGGGTGTACGAGGTTGTGGATGACTGGTGAATCGCGAAACCATTGCGGGAATGACATATCACTCCACGTCAGTGAACCCGTTGGAGCTCGAGTGGGCCTAACGTACATCCATGGATGAGGTGGCTGAGCAGGTATCGAGCGAGTACATCAACATGCAAGTACAGGCTATAAACACCATTTCCTATATAGATATATTGAGTCGCATCGATCAGTGTGTTAGAGAAAACTGATAGTCCTCGTGACGATGGTAACACTTTGGATTCAAGCATTTAAGGCCATCCAAACAAATATCTACACGCACATATTTATTATTTATATCATTCAATTCCCACTGGCAATATAAAATATAGGCACACGTTTATCCACCATATCATTAAAAGTATTTATTTATATTACTATTACGCCTAGTAGACATTGTAGATGTCAATCATGTAAATAGCTTACAAATCGAGATTTGGAAGCAATTTGCCAGCCAGCTTAGCAAGCTCGTAGTATGGATATCGGTGGTTCCTTCGCAACATTGCATAGGCCTACTGTAGCATGGTGTTGCGTGCAGCGTGATGTCAATACGTAGGCCTAAACTAGAGATGCCTCCATGCTTTCATGCACTAAATTATCATGACAAATATTTATTTATAGTAGTAGTGTCAACCATTTTGTTTTTGTAGCTTAGCATTCAAGAATTCTTAATACGAGGAATAATATTATGCCATGGTATAATATGTTGTAGGCATTGGTGCATTAATATGTTGTTATGTTTTACCCACTACAGACCGCTGAGATACTGCGATATGTTACAAGAGTATAGTTGTATTTGTGTACTTAAATAATCACAACTAGGCCTATTTACACTGTTTGCATTATAACAAACGATTAAATATGTAGACATGCCATGGGCCTATAGACTAGTTTGTAATTTAAATTTGATCATGTTTGTTGTAGACCTGCCCCGCCCCCCACCCCCAGACCAGCCAAACACAAACCTTTTGGTGCAAACTTGAACCAAAGTAGTAGTTGTTATTTGCATATTGTAATTTTAAAGTAGGTGGAACTGATTTCTCTTAAATCCAGCTTTGTCTATAGACTTTTGTACCATTACCACCCCATCGACATATAGTAATCAATGATCATTTACAAATAATTATAGCCATAATAATTACTGGGATTTTGATGGTTTTTATCTTGTTGGCACAATGTGTAAAGTGCCGCTGTTTTTATTCTGATTTTGTTGTTCTTTTTTCTTCTTCCATCTCTTTTCACCGTGTTTTTTTTTTACTGAGTTCTTCTCCGCGACAAGTAATCACTTTTTATGCCTTCATTTTATCAAAGGTCCAAGCAAGAACCATATCAAAAGTGTACCTATATTTCAAGGACTTATGTGGATATTATGTAATTTTTCCTATTTTTAAAAATATTAATAAACTGGTAATCGCAATATATCAAGGTAAACGCAATTAACTGAAATTTTCGTTGTTTTAAGCAATTCAAACTAGTTACACTTAGCGATTAAGTGCAACGCAATTGCGGTGAAGTGTATCAACATTTTTCATAAAATGAAAAAGCACCTTTTTTGGGCTGTGTTCTGTGGTTGAATGGTTAGAACCTGCACTTTACCCTCAGTATCACGGGACTATTGTTAGCTTATTTACTTTTGTGTTTTAATGAGAGGTAAACAGACCCATCTTCAAGAAACCGTAACAAAATAACTTCATAATTACATCTTTGGTCTCATCATGACAATGAGCAAAAGTGCTATGATCTGTTTTACCACAGACCATGTATCTGTGGTTTTACAGACATAATTTAAAATGAGGTTTAGAGTACTTTGTGAAGGGGCTATATATGCCTTTCCTTGACCTATTGCTTTTGTCTGCTCTGTATTAGGATAATGTTTTCTGATTGATTGATTGATTGATTGGTTGATTGATTGATTGATTGAATGATTGATGAATACCGTATCGTTTTGGTAAATTAGGCCAAACTATACTACAAACAATATTAAAAACATGCGACATCGCACGTTACATAATGCTTTGTACGGTTTTCCTCCGTCATGGACAGATTTAGGCATAATACCACCTCCCCAATTTTATATTATTGTTACCATGGAGGCATTACGCGATAAATCACTTCACATCAGGGAGCAGTCATACTGCTCCCCTGATCACATACATACTTTAACATCAAGAATTAATTGTGTTAGAATGTTTATGCACCATTCATTGTCACGATAACCCATGTAAACAAACGGTGCCGCTTGCTTTCTCACACGTTGCGATTTTAGCAACGACAAGCTGCGCTACGACACGCTCTATCTGCTGCACGGGAGTTAGGGCAAGGTGTGAGCACACTACAAGGATAGTCGTGTGGAAGCGTACGATATCTTTGAATTTTGAACACAGTAAGCAAAATCGCAAAGACCGGCTTTAGTTTTCGTTGTCATATGTTTGTTTGTTTGGTGTTTTTTTTTAACTTTAATTGGTATCAAATATCATATTGTTTTTCAGAGGAAAAATGAGCAAATCTACTAAAATTAAGATCACCGAGTTGAACCGCCATCTCACCTGTTTTCTCTGTGCTGGATACTTCATCGATGCCACAACCATAATAGAATGCCTTCACTCTTGTAAGTATTTACGTGCTATTCTTGTAGGCTAGGGTAAACTTAAAAATTTAATCTGTAAAAATCACTACACGCTATCGCCGAAAACCTACGGCGACGCCGATGGTCGGAAGAATCGGGGAGCATACCTCTGATAACGATTGCAGTGAAAACACTGTAGCGACAGTATAGCAATTTTATGGAATTAAGCCTTACCATTTATTCACACAGTTGATTGTTCAAACCATGCTTTGACAACACACGTCTTCACGTCCTCGTCCTTTCCCCCTCTGAAAAATTTATTATATGACGGTGACCCGCTCATCATTTAAGTTTCATCTTACGTTTAGTTTGTCGCACATGCATCGTGCCGTTTCTACAGAAGACCAACCAATGTCCGATGTGTGACGTACAGGTGCACAAAACACGGCCTCTCTTAAACATAAGGTAGCTGGCATTTATATTTGTTCGTTATTAAAATTTAAACACTACATTAACATGTATATCAATTAATATTGACGTACGTATTTCCGCATTACCATATAGGAGTTATTGTTTGTACTTGTACCAAACCGATTTAATTTGAATTTGAATGTTCAATGTTTCCTTGTTATAATAAATCTGTATTCAGTTCCACCGATTTGCAATACGATTTTTTTTATGGTAGACCTTCTAAATTGGTAAAATGTTCCTATATTACAATTTGTGATAATAGGAACTTTTGTAACAACCCGTCTGATGGTTTTAAGTATTCACATGTGGCAAGCGTCCAGCTATAAGCAAACAATCATACATCATATTATTGTCTGTAAAGTATAGTTAGTAACCTCATTTAAAACATCAACATAGCAGTAGGCCAAATTAAAGTCATGTTCTCAAATACTTAATTCGTATCTTCTCAGAGCCGACAAAACATTACAGTCTCTAGTCTACAAATTGGTTCCCGGACTGCTAAAAAGTAAGTACTGTACAGTAATCTAGATAGGTATTAGTTTTATTATTCAAATTTCACTTATAGGCGCTATGCCACTTTAAGGATACATTTTCATATTTATTCATGCCTCAAATATCTCCAAATAAATAGATTTTTAACCATGCCTATTGTTTCTGCTTCTTGTACAGTATCGCTTATCCTATATACGATAGGGTCGGTAACAGTTCATTAACTAAACAGTGATGAATTAATACACCTATACCTATCATGATTTTTGCTGTTTTTTGCTTTATAGATGAGATGTGCCGGCGGCGAGAGTATTTTTCTCTCAATCCAGATGCAAGTAAGTATACTGACAACTATTACCGTATACTGTCATTAAATATTTACGCATTGCAGTTATTACGTTATTCCCCTTCCTTCCATTTACAGCACATCTTATATATGGCTTTGAAATATAATAATAAAATATAATACTTGCAATGGTTGATATGAATAATGTTTTGCATACTAATATGTTCAAGTTGGCGGGACATTATTACCCCTGGTAATTTGATCAACACGGGCTCTATATTTGCAGCCGCATTCAGCGATTGTACAACATTATCGCGCCAATCAACTTGGAAAATGTTTTATAAAAGGTTTTTTTTCAAGCAATTCGCAAGAGGTCTGCACTCTGCAGCTGACAAAAGTGGAGTTAATTAATACTCTAATAGAATGCCTACAGTGATGATCACTCCAATTTCACTCTTTCTTGAGGTAAAATTCTTAAAATAGTGAAAAATTCAATCTGAATAGGGTGATATCTCACTCTCTAAAGCTTTGCCAAGGCGTCGTTCCATGTTAAATCATATCATATCTACGGCGTGCTATACGTGGAATGTACTTGTTAATTCATGTTCAGCATTTCAGTTATATTGCCATTAAATGTGTCTAGCATACGCGGAAACGTAGACACCTCTAGCAATGATATAGAAGTAAACTGTAATCCGTTTATATTATTATGCGCAGTACTTGAGAGTCTGTTAAATCGTTTTGTAAATTAATCATGAGATTTTCAATGCTCAGGGAGATCGCTGCCGCCTAATGCCCGAGAGGAGCGAGGAGAACTTGGTTTAGAATCTCTGTTTATATACACGGATGATGAGGACATCAGCCTGTCAATGGAGTATCGTCTGCCGCGCGTGGCACCGCCGCATCCACCGCCACCGCTTAACGAAAAACCGGAAGATGATGAAGAGAAGCCAGAAGACGAATCGGAGAGAAAACGGCGACACAGCAATACAAATGGAATAGGAGAAGGAGAGGTTAGTAGGCCTAGACTTATTTTTTCGCGTATTGCACTGACAAACATCGCAACGCGGTGCTCAGTCCGTTTGTGTTGTTCTTTATATACCTATAATATATACCTAAATATATTTCCAATGTGTTAATCTGTCCCTTTTTTTAAATTTGTGTATTACCTCGTGATTGTTAGAGGGTATTGGCCCACAATGGCTTTCGTAGCAATAAAAGAAATTGAATTGAATAGTAATTCGTTGGTGAAAATTCATTTATCCATTTTTTTATGATTTTTATCGTATTTTAATAACTCTAAACTCTGGATAATTTTTTAACGTTCTCTCTTTAAAATTACCCATAGTTATTAAAATACTAAAAAAAAAAAGCTCCTAATTCAAAATTCATTATAGCACATTTAATTAATTTTATTGATCTCAATTTCTTTGTACAGTAATCATGAATTCTGTGGTATCCTTGGTGTTGGCATTTTATCTGGTGAATTCGTTCCTACGTGTCCATTAATGACTGGTTAATATTTTACTTCGCATTTGTCTTCTTTCCATTAGCTCGTGGACCTTCGTTATCTTCGCTGCGCAGCCGCAGTGACAATCAAACATCTCAAGAAATTTGTTCGTAGTAAATTCGGCTTGGATTCCAGTTACCAAGTAAGGATGCTTATAAGCATGGACCTTTCTTATTAATAGGTCCATGCTTATATATTATATTTTAACCTCATTAACATGATCACGTGGTAGTCATTTGATTCAATATAGGCCTATCTGGTATCTGTAAAGCCATTTCAAGACTATCAAATTATCTTTGACAAAAAAAAATGTATACCCATATATAGTCATGATGTACCTATATATGGTCCTGATGTGAAGACATCATGACCATATTAGGCATGTCACACCATGGAGGAATTACTAATTCAGCCAATCACAAGAGTGTGTGCTTAGCTAAGAATGTTTACATTTTCAACATTAATATAAAAATAATGCACGTTTACCTAAATTATCACGTATAATCTATCACTTGAAATTTAATGTTGTGATGTTTTCTGTAGTATTTCTCATCTAACTATGAATTATTTAAGCGTTTTCTTTCTTAAGTAATACTTGATTAATTATAATTGTTTTGGGTCGTACGTTCTAGGCCAGCAATTTATTAATGTCTTCCCCGTTTTTCGTCTAATTAATACTATTCGACTGGTACCCGTGACTTCATAATCGCCCAGGCTTATTCACTAATTGTGGATAACCAATCGTTTCCGATTTAAAGGGAAGTAGTGTCATTTTGTTTATATCCCGGAGCTGTGTGTGACAGCATGTTTACCTGTGTTTAAGAAGAAACAAAATGAAATTAGCTTGGAGATGGCTGCTAGGCTGACTGCCACTATATTCGTTACTATAATGTAGGAGGCGGTAGAACAATGTTGCTCATATACCACTGAATTATATAATATAAACGCGAATGAATTAATAAAGCATTCGTGCACGTTTCGTGAATCTAGTGTTTTTGTTGTATATTTCTGTAGTTTCTAACACGAATCTAATTATTCAAAGTAGGTTCACAATATTATGGTACCTTCTAGTAAAACAATCATCGCCACTGTTTCTTCTGCATGCATCAAGCATTTAAATAGTAATTTTACCGGCAGTTATACGTAATCTATGTATGCGCAATCGCCAAACCATTAAACTTTGGAACCGGAAAACAATTATTCGAGGCCTTTATCTACACCTTCCTTATGTTACTTTGTGATAGGGGTCCTCCGATTCGAATTAAACTTGATGGAATCCAGAGTAATTATACAATGAATTATTTTAATCCTTTTGTGATCTATTGAAATAAGTAAAGATAACTTGACCACTGCTAAAGATGTTACCATGTTGGGTTTGAAGTACGGGTACGCTTTTTTTTTTAAATTATCACTCATTCTTGTTTATGTTTACCGTTTTTCATTAGATCGATGTGTTTTATAAGAATTCCGAAGAGGAAGTGTTGTTTGAGGATTATTCTCTTATGGACATCGCGTATATATTTTCATGGAGAAGGGTGAGTTTTATGTCTAGGCTTAACTTTTCATTCTACTCCCACATCCCTGGGTGTAGTATTAGAAGCGGCGAGTAAATTTGGGGGTCGTGACTTTTAAGTAACTATAATTTAATTAATATTCTGAGGCCGCTTTAGTCCTAATTGATTGACAAGGGACAACATGCAGCGTCGTGCGATTTCTTAGATTAGAATGGCGAGTCAATAAGGGTCTAAATGCATTTGTAAATAAAGTGTAAGAAATGCAGCTTTTTGTGGTAGTGGGCCATCTAGTTGCTCTACCACTGGCAAAATTTAGAGATTTTAAAAATGAATAGTCAATTTACGGATGGGAGGAAATTGCAACAGTATACAATATGTTGGTAAAATTGCTAATGGTTTCTCGTCATTTTTATTAACACTGATGACGCATTCTTTATTTAGGCCTATATTCATTGTTACCTACACCATCCATCTGAACACTGTTATCCATTAAAGGCAGGCCCACTGATGGATACGGAAACAACAGCTTTATATCAATCATAACCATTTCCGCAGACCTGTAGTATAATTTTTCTAACCAGCATTGTACCTTATGGTAACGTTTAAATCATTTTTTTTATGTACACAGACAGGGCCATTGGCGTTAGTGTATAGGATATACGAACCAAACCGAAAGAGACGCAAATTAGCGAAAGGGAAATCATCAGTAAATATAAAAAAGACACTTTCCAAGGAATCGTCTAATGTTTTTGAAAAAACAGCGGTCGATGATAAGAAAAAAGACACGAACAACTCAAACGGCGGGACGAGTATGACGCCCTCTATCGGGAACACAGGCGTAGCTGTTTCAACGTGAAGTGATGCATTTCCCAGAAAACATCCGACGCTAGTTATCTATCACAGGCTACCTCTGTACCTATATACATGCTTTCAATATGGTGTGATGATTTTTTGGGGAAAAACACGAATGTTTTAAACTTGAAATTGTTTGGCTTGGATTCGTTTACCACCAATTTGCCCATCAATGTGAAGACTATTGTATTGTATGTCGTGATTTTGAAAGCCTCCTATTATTTTAACAACGTTTACCGATTATGGTTTACGATTTTATTTAGAATAATCCACTGGAACACAGAAACGCTTCAACGTCAATCCATCTTGGAGGAGGTTCACTATACATCAGCTTCACTTGGCACCATAGCGCTTTTCACGTTTATCCTCATATAAGTTACCGTATTAGTATTACTATGGAATATATTCGTAAGCTCCTAAACCATTGTAATAAGTAAGTGTTTATCAGAGCAGCTTGAATATGTTCGATGAAACATTTTTTATAGGTATGATAAGGATACCTTATAGAAAATAATTATATAAAGTACACTTACAAGTTGCTTAAAACAATTAGATACAGTGTAACAGTGCACTTACAAGTTGCTGAAAACATAAGTTATTGTACAGTATAGTGAAAAATAGTGATACCTGACTATATTACCTTGCCTCGGTATTAATGACCAAAATGTTTAGAAGCTTTTCAAATTTTTGATAATTATTGTAAACCGACTGTTGTTTTACGTTTATATAGGTTCGTCTAAACGCGAATGAATTAATAAAGCATTCGTGCACGTTTCGTGAATCTAGTGTTTTTGTTGTATATTTCTGTAGTTTCTAACACGAATCTAATTATTCAAAGTAGGTTCACAATATTATGGTACCTTCTAGTAAAACAATCATCGCCACTGTTTCTTCTGCGGTCTATCGGTACCTTGTGCAATTCATAGCCGGAAGAATTATCCGGTCATTATAATAAGAGCTAGGGGT